GTTGGTCGAAGCCTTGAGCAACCTGTTCTGATGGGAGGTGTTACTGCCCAGGGTGGGGGGTTGAGGCTGGATGATCTCTAAGGTCCATTCCAACCCCTAAAGTTCCATGGTTCTATGATCTCTCATCCCAAACCCATGGTGGGCTCCCTGTGTCAAGGTGGGGCTGGTGTAAAGTGATGTTCCCTGCGATCATCAAAGAATACAAATTGGGCAACGTTTATAGGAACCTTGTTGTACTTAGCACTTGTACAAGTAAAGCACTTGTCATTACTTTTGCTAAACCTTTGCAGGACTTAGGGTCCTGGTAGGTTTTACAAAGATCTGTGACTACAAATATGTCATGGGCAGAGTGGGAGCTTCAGACAGAGTTTGCTAGAGAAGCTCCCGTTGTGTCCCAAGGGGCAAAGAGGACCTCCTTACTTTCTAAACAATTCAGAGAGGAGCTTGGGTGCAGCTGGATCCAATCTTAGCCCCATATTTTGTCAAACAAACGAATAAACAAGTTCAGGCATCTTAGATGTTTGGTTACTCTTTGGAAAGATATTTCAAACTGTTTTTTCTTTTCAGGAAAAATGGAGACTTCTTCCAGCATTTCTAAAGGTTTGTGTTATGAACTTATTTCATGGCATGAATACTTCATCTCCTTTCTAACTTTCCATTCCCCTCTTCGGTTTTGCTGTTCCCCAGAGCATCTGTCCTCGCCTTCTGTTTGGATTTTGCAACGATTTTTTATTAGTTCCCTGTAGTTATGGATAAACTTGTTCCATAGATTAGTTTCTTGGTTAATTTGCAGATTCTTTTGTGGAGGCATTCCGTTAGACGTTTGTGTTTTGTCTGGCTATTGTAAGTGAACAATGTATACATCTAATGTTTCCAAATTATGTCATTGCTTTACTGGCGCGCAGGGACCCTAGTCTTGGTCTTGATGTAAGACTGTGGTGTTAGGTTCAGGGTTGTGTTTTTCATAGGAAGTCTATAACCACAGATCTGCATTCAGCAAAGGCTTGAACATCTGCATATCTTCCTTCATGAAGTCAGAGCTTGGCTGAACTCTCTTAATTTGAGTTCTACTCTTATAATCTGATACTAGTTGAGGGCACAGTTCCATGTAAAAAGCCACCAAATGTAATAATGGGACTAACAAACAGTTGGAAGGAAGGAAGGGGAAAGGCAGCAATGAAAATTGTGTCATAAATATGGCAGGTGAAGTCTGTGATGTGCACAGATCCCTTTAGAGAGCTGCAGCCACCTCTGCACCCATCATGACTCCTTGGAAACACTGCCCACTTCTGCTGGATTGTTTTGAGCCTCACTTTTAAGTCCTTTTCTTCCCAGTTTCAATACGTGCACTTCTGGTTTTGCTGCACTCTTCAGTGTTTGATCCTGGCAGGAACATAAAGTTCAAAAGTCATTTGTGGATTGTGTTTGTTTTCACTTTGATTCAGGGCTGTGAAGAAGCTTCAGGGCCCTAATGAATAAAACCAAATGCTGTGTCTCTCCTAGCAACCACATGAAATTCCCTCACGAGCTTGAGCCAGTGATATTGTCTGAATTCTGGAGCCTGTGAAAAAGGGGGGACTGTTGATTGTGAGAGGCAGTTTATTGTGTGCTCTGTGCCAAGTGTATCCATCCTACATTATTTTCAGCCAGTGAGTCCTTTACTCTAGGGCTGCTGATGGTGGTCTGGCCCTTTTGTGGCAGGTTGGTTCATTTGTGCCAGCAGTGATACAAAGCTGATGTTCTGCATTACAGTTTCTACAGTGGAGTTTTCTTTCAATAGGGATGTTGATGTTGCCCCATCAGGAATGGAAAGAACTACCAACCTGATTTCTAGACACTAATAAATCCATATTTTCTTGCCTATATCAGATGATGTGCAGTGTTTTTGTAAATTAGGGTATCTCTTATGTAACCAGTTTTGCTCTGGAGTCATTCCTCCTGTCTTAACCCCTGGAAAGTTCCCTAAGCAGGTGGATTTGGCATTCTAAGCTTCCCATCTCTTTCTAATCATTTCAGAATGAAGTGTTGCCTATCAAGCATCTAAATCCATATTTTCTTGCCTATATCAGATGATGTGCAGTGTTTTTGTAAATTAGGGTATCTCTTATGTAACCAGTTTTGCTCTGGAGTCATTCCTCCTGTCTTAACCCCTGGAAAGTTCCCTAAGCAGGTGGATTTGGCATTCTAAGCTTCCCATCTCTTTCTAATCATTTCAGAATGAAGTGTTGCCTATCAAGCATCATTTTTTTGGTCTCTCCTGGCTGCCGGGCAGGGAGAGGACTGGAGAGAATGACCTTGAGCTGAGCCAGGGCAGAGTCAGATTGGATGTCAGGAGAAATGTTTTCCCTGTGAGGGTGTTCAGGCACTGGAATATTGCCCAGGGAGGTGGTGGATTCACCATCTCTGGAGGTGTTTAACAGGTGTCTGGATCTGACACTGGAGGATATGGTTTAGGGGTTCCAGCAGTGACAGGTTAGTGATTAGACCCGATGGTCTTAGAGGTCTCCTCCAACCATGATGATTCAATGATTTATGATTTTACTTCATATAGTCCCCCTGCTTTTGGTTGTTCTAAACTTAAATCCTCGAAATGTATTGTATCAGCTCATTACCTGGGGACCAAGGTCCTGCTTACTCTGGGTGATATTGCTCCTGGCCATATTCTCTCCTGCTGCCTACAGATTAAACTCTGATTTCTTCCTAGTGTCTTGCCCTCCCGTGGCTGATTCCTTGCTTCCTGACTCCTGTCTTTCACACCGCAGTTCTGTTCCATCTCCCCTGTCTCCTTGGGCCTCCCTCTCAGTCTTCTTTATGCCACCTGCTCTTGTTAGGGTACAGACAACTTTTTTCTCAAGCAGCACATATGGTTAATTATACTATAAATTATCCAAATAGTTTCAAAATAATGTCAAACTGATAAAATATTTTGATTTGCAATAGTTCTTGTTTGCTTTTATATTGGCTATTTACTTGGTGCAGTTACCAAGTTACTTTTCTTACTCAAAGAATAATGACAGCTCTGGTGTAAACTGGGAAATGGACAGTGTAGAGCCAGACCCATTGTCCAGTCACTTTCCAGAAGTTGAGAGAATTTAGCACAGATCCATAAGTACTTCCAAATGCTAATATCTTAATTTTTGCCTTGTGTGATGAATGTTACTGAAACTAATTTAGTTTGCTGCATGCGTGTTTCAGGTGAAAGGACTGGTGAAGCAACACATAGACTCCTTCAACTATTTCATCAATGTAGAGGTATGCTTTCTTGGGGGGAAGAGTGGCTCTTAGTACTCAGAAAAGCACATGATTCTGTTTTATTTTTTCTCCTCCAGATAAAGAAAATCATGAAGGCCAATGAAAAAGTTACAAGTGATGCTGACCCAATGTGGTATCTGAAGTAAGCATGAAATGATTTCCATCTCAGTAGCAGCATGCACACTATCTCATGGGTTTGTTATTGGCAAAGAAATGCTGTTAGACACTTGTGTGGGCATAAATCAAGAGAGTATTTTCCATGACTTATCTCTTATTTGGAGCAATGAAAGATGGAAAGACTTAAAGACTAATGTGAAGCAGATTTAATAGCCATCTGTTACCAATACCTTATTTCACCATTTTTCTGTAGGTCAGTAACCTCAGATGGCAGATGGGAAATTTCTTTTTGTCTGTTTGCAAAGGCAGTTTGGGGTTTATTGCATGTACAGGTTAAATTTTAACTAACTAGACCACAGGCCAAATACAATGAGTTATTTTGGGAAGAACCATTGGTCATTATTAATCAACCTGTGTTCATCAAAATAACTTCATTTTTCAGGATGTATAGGATTTTTCTTCCTTCAGATCACCTGAAAAATGTTTGGCTCATTGTTCATTTGGAAACTGTTGGTATTACAGGTACCTCAATATCTATGTGGGTACTCCAGATGTGGAAGAAAGCTTCAACGTGACACGACCCGTATCACCTCATGAGGTATCAGTGTTGGTATCTGTCTTGTTTGTTGGTTTGATCTTGGGAATATCTTGGATAGCAGCTGCATGTAATGCTGTGTTAGGTAGTGCAGTGGATGCCACCACCGCTGTAGAAAGAAGCCTCAGGGCTTTAAGCATCATGTAATCAAGTGTTTTGATTTTACTTTTGAATTGTTTGGGGTTTTTTGACATGTGCAAATAGCTGCATTCAGTGTTTTGTGGTAGCTGAATTTGAGTGGGTTTCCTTGAAAGTAGTGAAAAGTGCTTCTCTTGCTTAATCTCAAGACTCTCCTTATGACAAAGCTGAAATGTTCATGCTACAATGTGTTGTTCTTGCATATTTTTAATAGCTTTTTTTTAATATTAGTCTTGCTGCTGTCTGCACCATAGGTCACTTCACTCTCCCTTTCCCTTTCAATCCTCTTTGGGAACATATATCTGATTTTTTGCTCCTGTTTTTTAAGTCTGAGTCAGAAAGCAAATGTGGGAACATTAAGCAGAAACAGATGGAAGTTGATAAAATTATAAGAAGTCGCAGAAGAACATTAGGCCTTATGGGGAGTATATTTCATTTCCTTGCACTGCTGTAAGCATGTAGGTTAACAAATGGATTGTGTACTCCTGGAATAAAGATGGATGTTGGAGAAAAATGCTGCTGTGGCTGAAATCAGAAGGTCTGTTGGTTGTGATCAGGAGGATCTAAGGTAGCTTCTGTATGTATAAGAAAGCTGTAAACTAACATAAGCTTTGGACCTTTCAGCATAGCTTTCAGGTACCTAGAGCCATTTAGTTCTCTTCAGGGATTGCTCAGGAACACAGTATTTCTCTCCTGCTACTGTGCTTCGACAGTTATACCAGTGCAGCAGAGGGACTAACAACCTCTTTTTTGGCCTCAGAACAGGAACTGGGCTTGGAAATTGCACTCATTTACCTACATACAACCTGTTGTCAGCCTCATAAATCAGTTCACAGATCAGGTGCTTTTTTCCTTGCTGTATCCACTTGAATTGGTTGGGTTTTTTTAGTGTAATCTTGACTGTCATGAAATACCTTCTGTGCTCTGGAGGAGCTCTGTGAAAAAAAGGTTGTCTAGTGGCTGGTGCTTGTGTGTAGCCACTTTGTCTCCAGTGACCTGAGTCAAATCTCATTTGGTTCAATGGAAAGCTTTGAAATAAGGCCAATAACTGTCCTCAGCAGTGCAATCAGCTGTAATATGTGGCAGCTCATGCCTCTCACAGATGTGTAGCTGACAGTAAAACAGTTGATGTAAATGTGCACAAAATGCAATGGGAAACATTTCTTTTATGTGAATGAAATTGCATTCAAAAATGCTTTGTGGCCAACAACTCCTATCCAAGAGCCCAAGTCTTAAGATGTTTGCTTGCTTTATAACTGAAGTGACTGTTCATGCAAAAGAAGGCAAAATAAATGCTTCACAGAGCATACTGACCTGGAATTTAAAATCATAGAATTTAAGGGTTGGAATGGACCTTACAGATCATCTAATCCCAGCCCCGTGCCCTGGACAGGGACACCTCTTCACTAGATCAGGTTGTTCAAGTTTCGTCTTCAATGCACAGCACAATCTTAATTGCATTTTATTAATGCATAATCAATACACTGAAAGACTACAGAACCATAAATGTACAAGTCTGAATACTGATAAACCTGTAATACTGGAGCTGAAAGGTGTAGTGAGGTCATGAATGAACTGCAGTGAGTTGCTCTGTTTAGCAGATGCAACAGATCATGTCTTGCATGAAGATACACAACACTTTAATGGCTTGCAACAGAGTCTGTAGAGTGAGGTTGGGGAGAGCAGACCAGAAGGACTGGATTAGAAATGATAGAACCCTAGAATCAGCTGGGTTGGAAAAGACCTCCAAGATCATCAAGTCCAACCCTACTGTGGTTACTAGACCATGGCACTAAGTGCCACATCCAGTCTCATCTTGAAAACCTCCAGGGACAGTGAATCCACCACCTCCCTGGGCAGCACATTCCAATGCCTGATCCCTCTCCCTAAAACATCTCTTCCTAATGTCCAACCTAATCTGCCCCTGGCAGAGCTTGAGTCTGTGCCCTCTTGTCCTCCTGCTGGTTGCCTGGGAGAAGAGCCCAACCCCCACCTGACTCCAACCTCCTGTCAGGGAGTTGTAGAGGGGGATAAGGTCTCCCCTGAGCCTCCTCTTCTGCAGGCTGAACAACCCCAGCTCCCTCAGCCTCTCCTCATGGCACTTGTGCTTGAGTCCCTTCACCAGCCTCATTGCTCTTCTATGATTGAGCCTTGGGCTATATAATGTCCTAGATATGTATATCCTACTTCTCTGAGGAATGTGCAGACAATTGTGGGAATCTTTATGAGAATTGATTCTGCAGTGAGCCTTCTGCAAGTTGGTTACAGAAATGGTACCTTACGGAGAGATTTGCTCATTCTGTTAATAAGGTAGCACGATGTCTCTGTTACTCGTATGTGTTTCCATTCTGTCTAAATTCACATGGCAGCACAACTCGTCAGTTGTTTAGTCTTCAACAGAAATATCCTTGAGCTGAGCACTGCTCAGGCACAGTATGTTTTTTGTGTCAGCTCTGCTGGTTAGACCTGTTTGTTTGATTAAACAATTCAGAAGTAGCACTCTGCAGTGCTGTCCTCTGAGGACACATACCTGCTGGCTGCTTTTGAAGCATCATGGCGATTGTATTTGGGTTTTCTTGAGTTTTGTTTTAAACAGGAGAGTCTATCAAACATATCTGAGATACCATGAAGAGCTTGGTAAAGCTTTGCTTTGCTTGACTTCTTTGTGAGGACTTAGAGGGCACAGGGCAAACATGGGGTGTTCTAAGAGTGATCCTTCAGCTTGTAAGTCAACACCTAAAGATGTTCTCCTTTTAGTGTCGCCTGAGGGACATGACCTATTCCGCCCCGATTACGGTGGATATTGAATACACACGAGGTAGCCAGAGGATCATCCGCAATGCATTGCCTATTGGCAGGTAAGATACCACGTGCCAAGCTTCTGGGATTAGTTTTCACTTGCTGCCATGGGGGGAAGAGTTTTTACTAGAAAATAAAGGTAGTCTGACATTGCTTCCTTGTTGAAAGAAACAGTGAGCAGGCAAATCTGGATAAACAGCTGTAGAGGACGTGAATTTAGGTTCTAACATCTTGATTAGATGTAGATAGTAGATAGGGATAGAGCAACAGATGTCTTCTACCTGGACTTATTTCCCACACGACATCCTTGTCTCTAAATTGGAGAGACCTGGATTTGATGGGTGGAGCGCTCAGTCGGTAAAGAACTGGCTGGACAGTCACACACAGAGAGCTGTGGTCAGTGGCTCAGTGTCCATGTGGAGGCCAATGAGGAGTGGTGTCCCTCAGGTCAGTTGATCCTGGGGCCAATACTGTTCAACATCTTTGTCAGTGATATGGACATTGGATCGAGTGCACCCTCAGCAAGTTCACTAATAATACCAAGCTGTGTGGGACAGTCACAGCTGGAGGGAAGGGATGGGACATCTAGAGGGACCTTGACAGGCTTGAGAGGTGGAACAATGCAAACCTTCTAGAGTTCAACAAAATGAAGTGCAGGGTCCTACATCTGGGCCATGGCAATCCCAGGCACAGCTACAGGTTGGGTGGGGAAGGAATTGAAA